AATGAAAATTAGCCTTCTCAGGAAAGTTTTGGCTTGGAAATGAAAATTAAGGATCCCAAGGAGAAAGACACAAGTTTGTCCCCTAAGACATTTTTATGGAGTCGTGGGGCGGGACAGTTTCTAGTCTAACGAGAGATTTATTAGGACGTCCTTGCAGAAAGCATCTTTATTTCCCAGGGCGTACCTAGTCTGCCTCCACAGCTTTGGGAGCTAATCACAAACTAAAATGTAACGTGCCCACCAGCAGAGTGAGACGATGTTTCTTTTCACTATATAATGCTAAGTGTATAATCGTGTTAATTATGAAGATAACTTGAGGGAAACTAAGCCTTTGGATTCATTTGTATTTTGTAGGACTCCAAAGAACCAAGGGTGATTCTTTTTGGTAATATGTTTGATAAATATAAATGTAAACAAATGCTTTTCTGATGGCAAGAATTCATTTAGAACAGAATTGCCTGAAACACAAATGGTCTGATTATATTGAGGGGTGTCCTCCAGAAAAGACATAGATTTAAACCAGTAGAAACTCTTTATTAGCTGGCCAGTGACTACACTGGGTGTATGGGATGCCCCAAGCCTTTCTCAGGGTGAGCTTTTAAGCACAAAAACTATGTCCTGAGTTGACACACTTCAATTAACAAGAACAGGTAGCCAGAAGCCAAAAACCTAGGTTAGCACATTTAGAGACTGTCCCAGAACCTTGGGCATCAATGGATTACGTCGTCGTGTTCACTTTAGCAGGCAGTACTCTCTTTGTGCCGAGTTTTATGGCCTGAATGGTACTTCCATCATGGAGTCAGTTGTGCTAAGGTCTGGGGGCCTGTTAAATTGAAGTGTAATATGGAAGCCTTTCTTATCTTTTTTGATACATTATCTCTGAGGCCCTACCTAGGTGTAACCTTAAACTGCTAGGGCTCCTTCTTACCCAGTCTTCTAAATGCTAGGATAACAGCCACCATCCCCAACACGCCCTGGCTCCTACTGGCAAGTAACTATTTTTTTTAATTGTTATAGAATTTATTTCACTTCTTTACTGTCTTACTGTTTGACCTGTTTGTACTATTGACAGTTGGGTGTTCATCAGCATGTGATATAGGACTTTGGAATAAATGATAATTCCCACTGATTTTTTTTTTGAGATAGGATCTCACTATGCTGCCCTGGCCAGCCTCAACCTCACTCAAAACCACATGCCTCTGCCTCCTGTGATGATATATTATTTATGATTTATTAAAGCTTGCCTGAGGATTCAGAAAGCAAAGCAGCATCAAGCTATAAAGATCAGACAATGGTGATATACACCTTTAATCCCAGCACTAGGAAGGTGGAGACAGGAGTGATATGGCTTGGAGGAGAAAGGAATATATAAGGAAGAGGAGACAGGAATTAAGAGCCTTTTGTAACTTGAAAATTAAAGGACTTAGAGACTGATATTGGTGTTCAGACTTGAAGCTGAAGATCAGAAAAGCAAAACAGCCAAGCCATTAGCTTTTACCTCTACCTCAGGCTGAAAGGGCTGATCCTGTCTCCACAAACTCCCACCAAGCCTCAGTCTGCTCCCTCTCCTCAATGTGGCTGATGAATATATGCCTTCCTATCCTCCATGTGACTGGAGAATGAATGCCAGCCCTGAGACCCTGTTCCTGTCTAAAATACATCTCGTGAGTCCTGGGATTAAAGGTTATGTGATCTCAAGTACTGAGATCTTTGTGTGAGCTGTTTCTCTTTAGGACTGAATATATTTCATGTAGTTCAGTGTGGCCTTGAACTAACAGAGACCCATCTACCTCTTAGTCCTGAGACCTGGGACTAACAGTGTGCCACCACCATCTAGCTCTATGACTGACTAGTGTGACTGCTTCGATATTTTGATCTCCAGCGGTTTTAATAAATCATAAACAATGTATCACCACAGCCTCCTGATACTGGGTTCAAATAAGTGCTCCATCACACATTGCTGTTTCCATTTCTTTACTTTTCTATTTTTTTTTTTTGGTTTTTTGAAACAGGGTTTCGCTGTAGCTTTGGGGCCTGTCCTGGAACTAGCTCTGTAGACCAGACTGGCCTTGAGCTCACAAAGATCCGCCTGCCTCTGCCTCCTGAGTGCTGGGATTAAAGGTGTGTGCCACCAACACCCAGTGCTGTTTCCATTTCTTGATATCCATTTTCACTTATTGTTTTAGTTGGATCTCTTTGGCACCAAAATCCTTGTGATTTATGTCTTCTAAAATACTAACCATATTTAAATTAAAATTACCCTCTTAAAATGTGACTAGCATTTCCAAAATTCACTTTATTTTTTTACATACTGAATTGACTTCAGGGTATAAAGCTTTGTCTTGTTTATTGTGTTCCAGTGATTAATACAAGAACATAGGAGCCAGGCTTGGTGATCAGCACCTTTAATCCCAGTACTTTTGAGGCAGAGGCAACTAAGACTCTGTGAGTAGGAGGGCAGCCTTATCTGCACAGAAATTTCTAGGCCAGTCAGGACTACATCGTGGGGCCCTGTCCAAAATAGAAAAAAGAAAAAAACAGAAGGAACACACAATTGCTAATTGAAAAATTGAATAAAGTGGTTGATCTATTTTTAAAGAAAATGTAGTATAAATCCTATAAAATTTTATGAGATTAAAAACTGTTCTGTCACCTTGAAATTCGATACAGCCGTTTACTGCATAGTACCTTCCTAGTTAAGTGCAGTGTTGATTGTAAAGTGGGGAGGTTTACTGTCAGTGTGTCTTGCTTGAGTAGCAAATGTCCCCCAACAGGCACTGGTATTTTGGTTGCCAGTTGATGTGCTTTGTGGAAGTGATTGAATGCTGAGGACTCTGATCTAATCAATGTGTTTAATCTCTTGATGAAGAATGTGAAATTATTGGGATGTGGCGAAAAGTAGGTGGTTGGTCTAATTGAAGAACAATGGGCAGTTGGGTCATGCCTTGGGAAGAGATCTCTTATCCTTGTTTCATCTCTCTTTGCTTCTTGACTACTTTTGCTGTCACATACCCTTCTGGCTTTAGGCTGTGCTTCTTTGGGCCCAGAAACATAGAACCTGGCAGCCTGTGAATGAAAACACTGATACCAGCAGGCAAATAGTGTTTTCTTCCATTAGTTTATGTCAGATATCTTGTCAAACAGACTGTCTTACAAAGGGTTTCTATTGTGTGATCAAACACCAAGACCAAAGACCAAGTTGTGTGGGGCAGATTAAGGTTGCATTTCAACATTGTTGTTCATCAGTGAAGGAAGTCAGGACAGGAACTCAAAACAAGGTAAGATTCAGGAAGCAGGAGCTGATGAAGAGGCCATGGAGTTGGGGGGGTGGTGAGAGACTGCTTATTGGCTTGCTTTCCCTAACATACTCAGCCCACCTTCTTATAGAACCCAGGACCAACAAAACCCAGGGGTGGCACCACCCACCATGAGCTGGGCCCTTCCCCCATTGATTACTAAATGAGAAAACACCTTACAGCTGGATCTCAAGGAGGCATTTCCTCAGCTGAGGTTTCTTGCTCTGATGACTCTAACTTGTGTCAAGTTGACACAAAAAAACAACCTAATACAAGGACTAAAAACTACCAGAAAGTGATCGAACACTCCTTTATCCCAACACTAAGGAGGCAGAGGCAGACCTCTATGAATTAGAGGCCAGCCTATTTTACAGAGAGAGTTCCAGGACAGCTAGGGCTACACAGAGAAGCCCTATCTTGAAAAACCAAAATAATGGAGTTGGGGACTAAAGTCTAACTCATTGTGTTTGAATATTTTTAAGTAGACTGTCATGCTTTATCATAAGAGGAAATTAAATGGTCTGTACCCATATCTATGCAGATTTTAAGAAAACATCATGCCCTTTCAGGTACATCATTTTTCTTCGTTTTTAATGTGTTTTAAGAATAGTATGATTCATTTATAATCTCCAGTTGTCTTAGTTACTTTTCTACTGCTGTGTTCAGATACCATGACCAAGTCAATTTATAGAAAAAACTGTTTATCGGATCTTACATTTCCTGAGGCTGAATCCGTGACAACCATAGTAGAGAGCAGGGCAGCAAGAAGGGAGGCATGCTGCTGGAGTGGTAGCTGAGAGCTTACATCCTTTTCCACAAGCAAGAGGAATAAAGTAACTAAGAATGGCTTGGGCTTTTGAAACCTCATAGTCTACCCCCAGTGACACACCTACCTATGCCAACATGACCTTGCCTCCTAATCCTTCCCAAAATGTTTAACAGGGAACAAAACATTCAAACATGCAAGCCCACAGGAGCCATCCCCAGTCAAAGAACCGCAGCATATAATCCACTCACCCCTTTTTAATAAAAAGGTTTTAAAATAACTCTTAATTACACTTATATCTATAGATATAAGAGTTTCCCATGCTGACCTCTGGACAATGCTTTATCTCACCATAGAAACTGTGAGACCCTGGTTATATATCATGGTTATATATAAAAAAGAACCCAAATACTAGTTTTCATTTCATTCACTGTGAGCTTGATAATGCTCAAATATTCTTGTCACAAAATATAACTTGAAATAAATTCATGAAGTTTTCATTGACCAAAATTTGGGTGTGTTTTAGTTAAACTTCAGGGATAACTGGCTCATTTAAACGTTTCCCCCATATCTGCCTCCTTCTGTCCTGAAATGTATTATCTGGTTTTGAGTGTTGCATGTTTTCTAAATGCTGTTCTTTAGAGGGAAACTATATTGACCTTAAAACTAAGGATTTTTACCACATTACCATTAACTTGATAATGGCAATTCTAAGTTTCTTTACCCCAAATCTAATGGATAACTGGGAAATCTGAATGCACAAAAAAGTTACACTTGTGTGATTGTTCCATTCTATATTTGTAATGCTGGTGAAACAAAGGTTTGAAGAAAGCAGTTAATTCCCTAGTGTAGAAACAAGCTTTCATAGGGCTTCCTTTCTGTGATTAAAGAGAATAACAAGCAACTGCTAATCCCATATTATTTGAAAATGTCATTTAAAAACTTTAGAATTATTTTAGGGGGATACTTATACTTTAGAAGTTTAAAAAATCTGTCAGTAATGAGAACATATGTCTGTATTTTGTAAATTAGATTTTTAGGAGTGAGTGTATTAGTTGAGGTTCTCTAGAGTAACAAGACTTATCGAATGAATCTCTGTCTCTCTCCCATATATATAAAGGGGATTTATTAGAATGACTTACAGGCTGTGGTTCAGTTAATCCGACAATGGCTGTCTGTGAAAGAAAGATCCAAAAATCAAGTAGTTGTTCAGTTCACATGGCTGGTCTTCAGTATACACTTTAATCCAGAAGAAGTAGGCTCTAATACCAATGAAGCAATGGATTTGCCAGCAGGAGAGAGCAAGAAGTCAACATCAAGAGCTTCCTTCTTCTGTGTAATCATATAGGCTGCCAGCAGAAAGTGTGGCCCAGATTAAAAGTGTTACAGGATTCTTGCCTGGGTCCTATTGCTGCTTCAGAACCCCCTAACACAGAGAGACTCTATTAGTTACAATGCTGCTGGCCAATGTCTAGGGCTAACTCTGTCTTAAGTATTAACCAATAACCACTAATATATGTATTTTTACAAGGTCTTATCTTACCAAGAACACCAGACTCATGTGTCCTCTCCTCCTGGGATCACATGGGGACTCCCGCCTACCTTTCCCAGAATCATCCTTCTCTCCTAGTCCTGCCTATCTTGCTTCCCTATTGGCCAACAGTGTTTTTCTCTTCTGATTTTGAAGAGTCTGTGCCTTTTCAACTGTTCTTTCAGCTCTGCTCCTTGTGCTTGTAAACTTCCACAAGCTATTGTCACCAGTTACCTTCCATTGTCAGTGGAAAACTTCTGCCCTTGTTCATGAGTTGAGGGAGTAACTCTTCCAAAGTCTTATTTACTTACAGTATTGATCGGGATTGACTAATGGAACAGAACTCTGTGTGTGTGTGTGTGTGTGTGTGTGTGTGTGTGTGTGTGTGTTTTAAAGTGGAATTTATTAAATGGAATTGTAGGATACAGTTAGAGTAACCTAACAATGGCTGTCTCACACCAGAGAGGCCAAATAATCTAATCCAAACTATCTCTCAGAAAACATCCCAGCAGTTTGGGTTTTATTGGAGTCCAGATGCAACCAAGTTGAATATCAAGATTAATCATCTCACTAACTTGTTTTTTTTAGTTGTTTAGTTGTTTAGTTAGTTGCATTTGTTGTGGTTCTTGGGATTGAACTCAGGGGAGAGTCTGCCTTTTGATTTCACTTGACTAAAATGGTCATATGCCTATCCTCAATAGTACTCTACTCATAAATACAGTAAACCTATGTTTCTGGCAGTGGCTGAAAGAAGGTGATCTTCATTAATGTCCAGACATTTTGTTTGTCACAGTTGTGAAAGTAGGATTTACTGACATGTAGTGAGAGAAGGTGGGAAATAATGTTCAACGTGGCACAGAACAGCTCCCCTCCCACATAATAAAGAATTATCTAGCTATCCAGGCCGTGGTGGCGCACACCCTTAATCCTAGCCCTTGGGAGACAGAGGTAGGCAGATCTCTGTAAGTTTGAGGCCAGCCTGGTCTATAGAGCTACACAGAGAAATCCTGTTTTAGAAATAAAAGAATTATCTAGCTCAAAATAATACCAAGATTGAGAAACTACCCCAGGGTTATAATTTTAAGCCTATAATCCTAAGAATTATTTTTAAAAAATAAGTTTCTAACTATTGCTTTAGATTTATCAGAACCAACACATTGTAAATGGGTTCATCTTCCCTTTGGGTATGTAAAAAAAGCCCAGACCTTCGCACAACCGACTCCATAATGGGAGTACCATTCAGGCAGTAAAACTCAGCACACAGACATCACCACCTGCACAAATGAAAACAAAGACCTAATCCATCAAAGCCATAGTTCTGGGAAAGTCTCTAAATGTACTAACCTTGCTTTTAGGCGTCTGTAGTTCTGCTTCTTGCTAACTGTTCTTGTTAACTGAAGTGTGTCAACCAGAATGTATTTTTGTGCTTAAAAGCTCTCCCTGAGAAAGGCTCGGGTTTACACTGGGATCCAGAATACCCATGTGGTTGTTGGCCAGCTAATAAAGACTTTATATTGGCCTAAACCCATGTCTAAGCACTCTTCACTGGTGGATACCCCACAACAGGGTATATTGACAGTTGACATCTAAAGTATATCTTTTAGAAAAGGGATATGAGTAATAATATCCATGAAAGAGCTTAGATTATTTGGAGAATTTTAAAAGTGCATGTATATTGGAAGCATTGGGATAGACATCTAAGGTAAATTTGAAATTAATGCAATTCTAGGTAGTTTTAATTTTTATAAGTATTTTCAATGTTTTATACAGAAAATTGTTTACTTGAATTTACACTAAGAATTTATTTTATTTCATGTGTATGTGTCAGTGTTTGCAGGCCCTCACCTGACCGTGCACATGCATGTGAAGGCCAGAAGAAGTTGCACAATATTCTATCCTATTGCTCTCCCTGTTCCACCCTGAGTCAGGATCTGTCAAAGAACCTGGAGCTTGGCTGTCAGGTAGGAAGCCCAAGTGATCTCCTCTCTCCAAGTGATCTCCGGCACAGTGCCGAGGTTGCAGGAGCCAGTGTGGCCATCAGCTTTTTACATGGCTGCTAGCTATTTAGACTAAGGTCCTCATCCTTGCCCGGCAAGCTGTTTTACCCTCTGAGCCATCTCCTCGACTCTAGAAATTACATTTTAACAATGGATAATTTCTCTAGTGAAGAGAACTTTTTTGTTAAGATAATGTCTCTTTATGTCACCCTGACTAACTTGGAATTCTCTGTGTAGACCTGGCTAATTTTGAACTTGTCGGTTTCATATCTCCTGAGTGCTGGGTTACAGGTATGACCTGCCATACCTAGCAAGTAGCCCCCCCCCGCCTTTTTCTTCAAAGAAAAGTATTTCATTAGTGTATCATCTTCAAAAATGAGTGCCAAGGGCAGGATATGATACAGCTGTATGTACACCGCTTGTCTAGACAAGCGCAAGGTCCTGGCTTTGATCCTCAGCACCACAAGAAAACAAAATCAAGGGAAAAAATGTATGAAGGTTCTTAAGTCGAACTGCAATAGATTAGATTACTTCATTTAAATTTTGTGAAAAGACAGTTTTATTAATATTTTGCCTAAAACTACAATCTATACTCTTCACATTAATGTAGCTGGTATTCTAAAACAAGTCCAGGAAATGAAGCAAAGTGGTGTCTTCTGAGGAATTTCGGAAGCAATTTGCGATAGGTACTGCGCTCAACCTCTGGGTGCCGCTGTCGTCCTGGGCCATTCTGACCCAGTGATTCCCCGCGGACTTTCGCAAACACGTCCGAAAAATGCTCAGCCTCCCTGCGCTCTGTTTGAACCTCTTGGTTTTAGTCGCCCTTTCTCCTGCTCTCCGCTGCAGTATTCTGGTCATCATCATCAAGATGTTTAATAACTCCGAATGCGGTGCTGCCTTTCCCTTCCTGGAAAGCTGGGAGCAACTACAGGGAGTGAATTCACATCTCAACAGCTGCGTGGAAAGGAAGTCAGGAAGTCGTCCACGGGGTGGGCGCGCAGAGCGCAGGAAGCACCGCCTCCCTTCCTGCAGTCTTTGTTCTGTTCTGAGAGCAGAACACTGCACTGCACTGCGGGATTCGAAAAGAAGGCTGAGCAAACGTTTAAGTGTGGGGAATCTGAGGGTGAGTGCCAAAAACTACTCCATCTAGCCAAGACAGTAGAGACCAGCTTGAGAATGATCGAATCAATGCCTCAGATCCACCAGAGAAATTACGTAAGCCACTCGAATTTGAAAATTACATCTACCGAAAATCGTATAGACAGAACCATCTTGGACTTAAGTGACAACAGCATGCAGCATAGACCGTTATGGGAATTCTAGAGAGCATCTTAATAGCAGTGTCTAGAGACTCGGATGCTGAAAATAACTCTACAAATGTGTCGCATAACTGTCAGTGACCATCTTGCCTGACTCCAGAAATGAATACAGCAGTAATTATTGGGAACTACTACTAAAGAAACCCCGGACCAGAGGAGCAGGACTGCCATTCCTCAGTGACGTTCACGGGGCAGGACAGCACTAGACAAGCCTAGAGCTATTGTCAGAACTTGGATGTTGAACCACAGCTGTTCAGCTGGGCCATCCTGCAGAAGAACCCATCCTCGCCTGTATCGCATTCCAGGTGATCCTCGTTGGCATTCTTAAGGTAGAGTTTGCCTTTTACTTCCACACAATCTCACAACTCATACAGAATAGATCTACTGCCTCCAGATTGCAGCAATGCTTGATTTTGATATTAAAAAAAACAGTAATCACATGGAATAGAAGATTGGAAGTAGTCTGAAGACCCATTTTCAAAGTCCCAGCTGGAATGGAGCCAAGAACTACAGCACAGCACAGGTCACTATAAGCCAGGCATCTGCAGGTAAGAACTGCTATTGGTAACCAAACAGCAGAATGGAGAGCTTTGCTTAAATGGAGAGGTGAAAATTGTTGCAGAAGGAATGATCCCACTGACAGTTCACCTCCAAGAACTACTATATAATTGTCACCCACTGACAGATGGAATCCTAAATGGGAGCAGACCCTAAAGTACGCTCTTGCCACCAGTGCCTTCACAGGGGTGACCCATCCCTTTTCTCCAGCACAAGCATCACTCAAGCATTTTCACCAACAAAAATGCTCTGCTTGCAGGAAGTGATGGTGCATGCCTGTCACCTCAGTATCCAGGAGGCTGAGCAAGAAGACCGAGCACTTAAGGCCAGTCTGGACTACAAAGTGAAATGCTGTCAAAACCAAAAAGCAATCAAAGTGGTTCTTCTCAGACAAGCCATTGTTTCTTTTTCTCCCTTTTCTTTGTGTGGTGCTGAGGTTTGGACTTGGAGCCTTTTTGTGTGTGGCAAGTGTTTCATACTGCATCACATCCTGATCCTTATTTTTCTCTGAGACAGGGTCTTGCTGTGTAGCACAGCCTGGCTCAAATTTATAATCCTTCTTCTGTCTCTGCCTCCTGAGTGCGGATTACAGATATGGACCATTGTGCCTTGTGCCAAGGGACTGGGAACATTCACCCAAGCCCCCATTGAATACTTTAACACTTCTGAGCAGAGCTTGGGAGTCTTTCATAATTCCTGTTTCTTCCTGACCTTGCACCAAGAAAATGCTATTGCTGTGTCAGCAAGTGTAGGTTTCGGAAGTATTCTGGGAGACTTCCTTTAAATTGATTCTCAGCGTGATAACCAGGGTTTGACTGGCTCAATGCCATCCTAGCCTCTCTGTGATGGTGAGTGACTGTCACAAAAATACAAGGAGGATGCTTTGCCAAGAGCTTCACCTAGGTAAGGCACTGCAATGCGCATTATGGAGCCTATCTACCCGCTAACAAAACCAGACGCCAACTTCAAGCACAAGAGTTAAGTGTCCTATCATATGTTTCAAACCAACTAATGTGGTTCTTCAACCTAGGGGCTCACACAACTAAGTGTATACAGCACTTTTCACTGTCTCAGAGACAGAACCTACCAGGGCCTATGAGGTAGACAGTCACTACACTGTACCTGGTCCATGTCATGAGTTTTTGGGAGTTGCTGCCAAACCCCAGTGTACCCAGCATAGCACTACCAGGCAGATGGAGGTTCAGTTTGGGGAGCCCTGTCTTAGTTTCTGTACTCGACCTCCTCGAAGGGATTCTAGCCATCATCCTGGGCTTGTGATATTGTTCTATCCCCAACACTAGGAACTTCTGTCACCCTGTTCTCTAAAGCAGGGTTTTGGAGTTGCTCCCAACTTCAGAGAAACAGACTCTTATAGTCCAGGCTGACCTCAAACCCACTTTGTAAGCCAAGGATGAGTTCAAACTTCTTATTCTTTTGATACTAACTTCCTGCTAAGATTACAGGCATGCACAATTGTAATTGGATTTCTGCATTGCTATGGATTAAACCTGGAGCTTCAAGCATGCTAGACAAGCACTCTACCAACTGAGCCACACCTCCATCCAAAGCTCAGCCTTTATGAAGTACAATACCTAAGAAATCATAAAATTAACATATATTTATAAGAAAAAACTTATCTCTAATGAAAAGATCCCTATTATATTTATATATCCAAATAATTTATACTAGTGTTTCACAGAAAATACCATTTTACTACTGAAATCCCAAAGTCAAAGTTTCTGCACTGACAATTTGCTTTTTTAATAGAATTAACCACTATAAAACAAAAAATTGTAACTGTTGTGACCTTGGAATGCACTTCTTAGTGTAAGTATTTCATAGATCAGCTGAGCACCATGGAGTGTCATGCCACTGTGGTATGTGGGTCAGGACTCAGAATGTGATAAGATCACAGCAAATGTGTATATATGTACATGTATAATTTATAACATACATACTTGTCTATTCATGTGGTTTTAAATGATTTACTATGGACTTCATCACAACAAACAAAAGCAGTGACTTCACAGGAAAACTCTTATTAGGCTGCACCGTTGGCTTTGGAAGGAGTGACTCCCATTATCCTCTCAGCCTTTACCATGGGCAAACTAAGGATTCCAAGTAGTTGGTGGCAACAGCTTTTTAAATCGTCCCTCTCAGATTTTCACCTCTCTCAAAATCGTTTTCTCCTTGTGCTTTCACCTCTCACTCTTTGATTTCATTTTAGGTTGTTGTGTTTAAATTGATGTGCTATCAACCACCATTCTCCCATTTCATGTTTTTTGAACAAAATAATAAGCATTTTTCCATATCTGCCAGCATTTCACTTAACTGACGAACATATCTTTCACTGAATGTAATCCCTTAGTAGTTCAGAATTTGTGAAGGTCAGCAAAAGTTTGCCCTTACTCCAACTGATCTGAAAGCTGAGACGATGCTCAGGATAAAGGAGACTGGTTCACAGAAGGACCTTCTGCCTGTTATCAGAAGGAACTGTTATCAGAAGGAACGGTGTTAGCTGGAAGTTCTTTTCTGTAATGAACCAAGTCTTCAGAACTGGCATGAAGTTGGGAAGTTATATCTCCGTATTCTCAGATTGTTCTTGCTTTTCTTCAAACTGAGATCCAATTCATTCATCTAGGTTGTCAGTTGTTGACCGCATCTTCAGCCTTGCTCACCATTCTAAATATTCCAGCTCTACTCCAAGCTCTAAAGAGCTCTGAACCTTCCAAGAACTCCATTCCACCAGGATCTGGTAGCAGAGCAAATGTCTTACTGTTCTATAGAAGGCCCTTCTCGGGAGCTGCTGTCCATTTCTGCAGACTCAGTGGATAACATATCTTCCTTGCCTACTTTGACCTTAGTCATACCACTACTGTTCCATTATTCTCTTCATAATTAAAGGACCAGGTGCCATGCCCCTGCTTCAGCGGGTCTGCCAGCCAGCCTGAAATGAGCCAAGGTTGGCAACTGCGTCAACATCTCCAAACAATGAATAAAAGTGACATTCACATTGTCCTAGTTAAAAGATACAACTATTTAAGAAGGCCACCTTCTCTAGGAGAATATAATGCATGATTGTAGAACAACTATTATTCCTACAGCCTCCCTAAAAATAAAGATGTGGCTCTTTTCATCTATGAAGAATAAAATCACAACTTCTCTCTTTTTTGAGTTTGAAGTTTAAATTATAGATTCATGTGATATTTGTAATAAGATTTCAAGATCTCAATTTTATTCTATTCAAAATATATTGGGGGAATTTTAAATCTTTCTTAACAAGCTCCTTCGGGAAAGAGGGGAATAAGGATATGATTTAAAATAGTCTTCAAGCCGGGCATTGGTGGCGCACGCCTTTAATCCCAGCGCTCAGGAGGCAGAGGTAGGTGGATCTCTGTGAGTTTGTGACCAGCCTGGTCTACAAGAGCTAGCTCCAGGTCAGCCTCAGCCTCCAAAGCCACAGAGAAACCCTGTCTCAAAAAACCAAAACAAACAAACAAACAAATAAAATGATCTTCAAAATCCCAGGTTTCTGAAAATATTCAAAGGAAACTGGAGTGATCCAGATTCTGAAACTCTACCCTGCAGTCTGAAAGTTGATTTTTTCACCCCCCAAACTTCTCTTTGTGGCCCAAGAAATTATCAGATGGTCAAGCTATACAACAAAATAAATGGAAGACTGATTTTTCTTCTCTTTATGGTTAGAGAGCTCTTTCATTTCTTCAATAGCACACAGGGAAAGCAGATAATTTGGACTTCTGAGTTCTCCAGCACAATGCAATTTAACAAATTATCTATAAGGAAGTGAACGTTGTTTCTTCTTTACATATAATACATATGTGTATGCACATAAGTACGTGCATGCATACATACTATTGTAAAAAGAAAAAAAGTTAACTATTTCCCTGGCAGTAAACCAGGACTTAAAAAAAGATACTTGATTACATTTCGAAGGAGTGCAGTAACTCGATAGGACTCTGGGCGCCGCTGTTCACCAACCTAGGCGATACATGCTCTAACTACCCGCCCAATTTGAGAAAAAAACGTGTGACTCTTAGACTCTCCACCATACCAGACTAAAAATGTCTGCCTGCGATTGCTAAACATATTTCTGGACATCTCTCTACTGCAATTATTTTAAATATTAAGGTAAAGAAGACCCTGGAAAAGCAGAAGAACAGTACCCTTGATAACAGATTGATAGTAAAGTAGGAAGCCAGAGAGCAATGGCGATTCCAAAGAAGCTAACC